CTTTTTCCTCACATGAAAACAATTGAATTGTGAAATGGAGAAATGGGATTTCTGTGATAAATGGAGTGAAAAGATGGTGGTCTGTGGAGAAGGAGCAACAAAAAAACGAAGTAAGGCCGAAAGAGAAAAAAAACAAGCCCTGATTTGCAGTTCTTGCTGATCTAAATATATTTACCAACAAGAATAATTTTGATGGCACTCAGCTTCATTGCTCCAGATTGGTTTTTCAGTGACATTGGAATAACCATTTCAGCCTTGTAATGTCAGACACAGGAAAAGGGATGGAGCTAAATGAAGGTAATAAGTCTATGTATTTTAACTAATCAAGATGTAATTACTGTGACACAGTGGACACTCTGAAATAAAGCATATGTCTTTCTCAGGCATAATTGGTTTGTGGTATTTATGTGCCCATGTATTTTGGGTTAGCTTTTAAAAATTATTATGGTTTGTTACCCAGTCAGCCAGATGTTTAGACTGGATTTGGCGTTTTCATCCACCTAACCCTAGTCCTTCACAAGGACCTGGGACAGGGAGATGGTGTTGTCTACTGGTTTATTATTTGTATTCTTATTATGGTTGGTTACCCAGTCAGCCAGTTTAGCCTGAATCTGGCATTTTTATCCATCTCTCTCGAGTCATTATTATTATTGTTGTTGTTATTATGTTATTTATGGGAAGAGTCAAGATTTGATTAAGAAGCTTATTTTGTAGGAGCAGTGAAACCTCAGTGCAATCTCTCTAAATAAATAATTACGAGGCAAGAAGCCCTGCCTGTAATAAATGTCAAGTCCAAAATGGCCGAGATAACATATATAAGGTGAGATCAGCTCAAATGAAAAACACCGCTTACGCTGCCATGAGCATTTCACACAGAACACCTTAAAATCCATGTTTCTTGCATATAAACGATGACCTCATGCTATATGCTTATATGGTATTCTGATTATCTATTGATTTCCTGTTTGAAAGAGATGCATACATAATGTCTTCCTTTAGAGTTTTCTTTTTGGGGGGTCCTGATTTTTTTCCCTACATGGCTACATGTGACCGGCTGACTTATGAAATAACGTGTGTAAAACATGCGTGGATGTGGACAGAGTGAAATCACATGGATATGTAGTCCTGGATCTGGTTACCACACTAATTTGTCTCATCAGCCTATAAAAGGAACACAACACAGTGGGTACATAACTATACACACTGATCTCTATAAATAGACAAGAGTGAAGTCTCATTCACTGTGTGTATCTGTGCCTCATCAGTGTGCGCATGGTGTGTGTTTAGGGGAGGAGTGAAGGATTTCTAATCCATCTATCAAGGGATAATAACACACGTTTTCTACACAAGAGTGCAACCTAATCCTGCATACGAACTGTAAACCAAGGCATTTGACCTAAGGCAATTATTAAAATATATTTAAATCCAACCGGGCAATAACCGCATTTAGGAATAATCCATTGTCTACATCCAGATCACAGCCTAGGTGAGAATTTGTGGATCTTTCCCCCCCCCCCTCTGCCCTTGTGTGAATAATCTCAGCTGATCGTCCAGTCATTAACATCCCACAAAATTCATCCCTCCCTCTCCCCCTCCGTGCTCCACAAACAGATAAGTAAACACACGTGTCTGGATTTCCATTCAAGATCACATCACAAAATCAGAGGGAAAAAAAAAAGAAGGAAAAGCTCAAAGGTAGCTCTTGTTTCCTGGCAGACATTATTCCGGCTAGAAAACATATGTGGAGTGTGCATTTTTGAAGCTTTCCTCTAAACCAGTTCATCAATTCGTTAATTATTGCTGAGAGGGAATCATAATGAGGCATATTTTTCTCCTTTAGCATCAAGATAGAGGTAAAATCTGGGGGGAGGGGTGAAGGGAGAAAAGGGAAAAATAGCTTATGAGTCAGAGATGTTATTACAGCTTTCTTTGGGCACTTTAGCTCCAGGGGGTGGGCCAACTGCTATTCAAGAACGATTCCAGGACTTGTGCATATTTTCACTGCTGTGTAGCAGTTTTAATAAAACATCTGTTCTTGCTTCTGCTGATGAGATTATACAATTGTTTGCAGACTAATTTTGTGTAGAAAGAGACCTATACATTATGCTATATAGGTTTGCAGGAAAGGTGGGAAGGAAGGGCTGCCACCTTTGATTAAACCCGCATCCTAGATGTCTACACATGGAGGGAGGGAGACGAGACACCCGTGTAAAATTGCAGGCCAGTAAGTTATAACTTGCACTCAAATACTTGGCTGACAAAAATGTGAGTTTTTGGAATCTTGAACTTTGTGCGTGTGGTGTGTGCATGTGTGCTGTATACTATAGTATACTGTGTACATGTGCACATTTTAGCATTTTCTAAACCATCCAGCCAAATGTTAAGGGAGGGTTTTGTGACAAATTTCTTTGTGCCAGCTGTTTTCTCATCCTCATAACACAAGCAAACTTTGAGGTTTTCTCTTCTGTTTAGAAAAGTAATAAACCCTTCATCCTTTCCCAAGTCTTTCTAAAACAGCTCTTTAGGACCTATATAGCCCACTATACACTCCCTCCCTTCCTCCAACCATAAACCTTTTTACATCACATAATCTCAGCTCTTTCAACCAAGATTAGGAGTATTAAAACACTTTTAAAAAGAAGCCTTTTTTTTTTTTTTTAGTAGGGCTTGCTTACCAGGGGAAAAAAGTAAGGGAGGACGGAGAGTTATGGAGGCTTTGTGACTTTTAATGGGTTCCTGATTTATACTAGAGCATTTTCTTTTAAAGGACCACCATTCTAAATATAAATATAAATTCACTCACTGAAGAGTCTTCACAGGAGAACTCTTAAAAGAGGAAGTGGGAAGAGAGTTGCTTCTGTCAATTTCAGGGGGTTGTGTGCCTAGAACACTGATTTAGTAGTTTGCAGGCAATCTCTGAACGTTTCAAATAATCCGAATTGAAATTAATTTCACTAAATTCCTTCAGATTATTCGCTTACCCATCCTCATCCAGGCAGTGCCCATATAAAATGCTTTGCAATGCATAACTCCTTAGTAGGTGGGTGGATGGATCTAGGAGAAGAGTTAACTTGGCTCTTCTTGCCCCAGTTTTTTTTTTTTTAATAATACATCCTAGTCTATAATGTAAAGTTTTGGTGGCTACTATTGCAAGATGGGAAACATGGGGAAAAAAATTGTATTGGACATCTGTCATTCTCCTGCCCATTAAACCATCCTCTTCCTATTATTTTTTTTTTTAAAGCCCTCCATGGCTTTATACAAGAAATGTACTATTTTTAAAAAAAAAAAAAAAATGCCAGCCCTCCAGAAACGCCTAATGCTGGACAAGAATGAATACTTCAACCTTCTTTTTCTTCTTCTTCTTCTTTTTTGTCTGTTGTGGTCCGGTTTATGGCTTTACTACTGCCTCTGATTACTTTGCTTTGTTGAACAGAGGAAAAAGATCATAAAGGCTTTTGGCATCCTTTGGCATCCGGGTTCCCGTTGGAGCCCAGAGGTGATCACAGGAGGAGGGATTTGCCTGTTCCTTTCTCAGCCCACCGAGGAGGAGAGTGACTCCATCCCAAAAAGGGATGTTCAAAGTACTGACTTGCGGGGGAGGGTGGGGGGGGGGGGAAAAGCAAATGTAAAGATATTCATTCGGAGGTGGGTCTGGTTTCCTTTTATGGACCCTTCCACGTATTATTATTCTCCCTTGAATGCAGCCAAACAAAAGCCACGGGAAAATCAGGCCCAGGTTTCCTAGCCCTAATTGAATTTTTAAAGAGCAAACCCATAGCAGGATGAAGGAACCTTGCTTCCGTTGACACATCAGCAGGTATATTTTTACATTTAAGGGGCAATTTATGGCCCCCGGATTGAAATTAAAATGAGATTAGCTGTCTTCATTTCAATTAGTATGTCGGGGAGTAGAATACAGTCCGCTCTCTAATCTAACTAAATATTTCAAGGGGGGAAGTTTTCTAATCAGCTACAGATATCTGAAGCCATAAATTCTGCCCCCTCCCCTCCCCTTTTATTTTTTGCAAATGTAAACACGAGGTGCTCCTTCTAACCCACACCGCTTCCCTAGAGAAAGGGAAGGTAATGAAAGACTGGGGGTGCTCCAAACATAAAGGGGACCCTAACAATGACAAATTCTTCCTCTTCCATTTTTTTCCCCCTGAAAGCAAAGCAAATACTGGGTTTGAATTACATTGAATGAAAAGATTAATAAAGCCCCCGCTCTGAATTTGGGGGCCAGAAGGAACGAAAGAAGGAGCTTGCAAAGTTCTTCGCATTCCAAAGTCCAGGAATACTCTCCAGGAAGATACCGGTCTCTATCCAACTGTCACTTCTTGCCCTGCCTTGTCTTTTCAAGATTGTTTTTTCCCCCCTTGAAAACACTAGTGTTTAATTCCACCTTTATTGACTGACGGAAAATTAGTGGAGGGAAAGAGAATTTATGGTATAATATTTTATGCACACTTCAGATTAATGGCTATAATTTCTGTGCTGTTTGGTTGCTAGAGGTATTAAGCAAGGCGTTTATTCAAAAGAATAAATATCCTGATTTCTGTTCTCCGCGGTTCCTTTCCTTTCCTTTCCTTAATATTTTTTAAGGCAATGCTTTTTCTCCACTATAATTTTCTTTTTTTTTTTTTCCCCCTTTCCTTTTTTTGCCCCTCCCTCCTCCTTCAGTCCTCTCCCACCTTCCCCCCCATCATCCTTACTCTTTCTCTCTCTCCCCCCCTTCTTCTAAACCATCTTTAAATTTAGAATTTCGAGACTTACTTTCAATGCATACTTAGTTTCAACTGGGGAATCAACACAAGCAAAAGCCATTTTTCCGTGTCTTGACATCCAGTTTCCTATTGGCTGACTGCGGGTCAGCTGACTTTGTCATTTTGTCTGTCCTGGAGTGGAGCCGTCCCTATAACAATCTAGTTCAGACTACAAACTGGAGACAGAAATAAATATTAAAGAAATCATACAGGCCAGGTAGCAGGGGGGAAGATATGAATTCCTATTTCACAAACCCGTCGCTCTCTTGTCACCTCACCAGTGGTCAAGAAGTCCTGCCCAGCGTGCCGCTCAATTCCACTGCCTATGACCCTGTAAGGCATTTTTCTACGTATGGAGCCGCGGTTGCACAAAACAGGATCTATTCATCTCCTTTTTATTCACCGCAAGATAATGTTGTGTTTAGCTCCAGTCGGGGACCATATGATTACGGATCGAATGCCTTTTATCAAGAAAAAGACATGCTCTCTAGCTGCAGGCAAAATTCTATGGGACACAATACACAAACTTCTATTGCACAGGATTTTGCAAGTGACCAAAACAGGAGCACGTCCCAGGAACAGAAAGCTAGCATTCAAATATACCCGTGGATGCAGCGCATGAACTCCCACAGTGGTAAGTTTTACAGCTCGCAGAGATAAATTAAATAAACTGAACCATCTTTATGGCCGTCTCCCCAGCAGAACAGGCTCAGCTACTTTTTATAGCCCCATAAAAACAATCATATAGCTTCCTCACAGTTGCCGCTACAGGCCTTTTATTTGTTAAGTTGTTGCAAGCAAATATGGCTTGTTATGCTCTTTCTAATTAAAAGACTTCGGGAGTGTAAAATATCCATAATAAAGTGCAATCAGCTCTGATTCTATCCAACCCTCCCCCCCCCCATCCCGTAGTGGAGATTTGAGGGGGAATTAGGTGTAGAAAATCAGAGCTGGGGTATTTTTTAAAAAATCGAAGTTTCCCAGATAGGTGAGAAAGGGCATTTTTTTTTTTGAACGGGGGGGGGGGGAGAGAGAGAGAGAGATGTAAAATGTCTTGTCCAATAATAGGTTGAGAGATGGGGTTTTGTGAAGTAGCTTGACTTCAGAAAGCAGCGCCTATTCCCAGTCATTAAAGCCAGCCTTGGAGTAGGATCTAATTAGAGCCTTTCCTTTTCTGAAGGCTGCAGAAATAATTAAAACAACACATTCCCGAATCTTTGCAAATAAGAAAGGGGGAAGGGAGCATGCTTCCCATTAGGCGCTCCCCCTCTTTTTTTTTGCTCTGTCTCCCTCCATGTGTGCTGGGAGATTTTAATGAACCGCCAGCCTAAAGGAGCAGAATTAAAAGTGGGATGGGTGGGCATACGAGGAAGACGGGGGTTGGGAGGGGGCTTTGGAGGGTGTGTGTGATTTGATGGCTTCCTTTCGGGGTTTTGTTTTGTTTTGTTTTGTAAATATATATATATATATATATATATTACTTGCGTTTTACTTATTTCCTTATGGACTTATAGACCTGTTGGCCGAAGCCGTAACTAATCGTTTTTAGTTTGTTTGGTTTCCGAATCCCTAGGAGTCGGCTACGGAGCAGACCGGAGGCGGGGGCGTCAGATCTACTCGCGCTACCAGACCCTGGAGCTGGAGAAGGAGTTCCATTTTAACCGGTACTTGACGCGGCGGCGGCGGATTGAGATCGCCAACGCGCTGTGCCTCACCGAACGCCAGATCAAGATCTGGTTCCAAAACCGGAGGATGAAGTGGAAAAAAGAGAGCAATCTGACTTCCACGCTACCGGGGGGAGGCGGCGCTGGAGCAGCCGCCGAGAGCTTGGGCGCGAAGGAAGAGAAAAGAGAAGAGGAGACGGAGGAGGAAGAAAAACCGAAGGAATGAACCAGGACGCCTCTCGGCCGGCAAAATTCCCTTCCCCTCCCCTCCAGTCTCACCCACGAGCAGAGCCCCAGAGAAGGTCCCCCTTCCTTTCCGCCCACCACCCGGCTCTCTCCTGCCTTCCTTTCCCTTCTCATTTACTGCAGGCACAAATGCTACATTGGGTTAAATTAAACGGGGGGGGGCAAGGGGGGAGAGATAGAAAAACCCCTCCTCCACCTTCAGTTTCCAGCGCACAAGTCCCAGACCCCTGACTCCCAAATCTCCTTTACTTTCCCCTTTAGAGGCTCCTATTCCCCCCCCCCCTTGTTCCTGGCCTCCTTGCCCAGTGACCCGGCTTTTCCTAAAGTGCACACACACACACACACACACACAGAGAGAGACATGCACACAATCACATACACCCAGACACCCGGACACGAGTGAGATAAACTTCCCCCTGGCATTCCTTCTTCGCCCTCCCTAGTCAGAATCTCGCCTGCCAAAAGAGAAGGGTTCTCTTGGGGGGGGGGGCTTCCTTCGAGTAGAGCTGGGTTCGACCAGGCAGGTCCAAAAAAACACAAAACTCTGGGCAGTTTCACTTTCCTAATAAAAAGAAAAAAAGGAAGGAAGGAAGAAAGAAAGAAAAAAAGGAAAGGTGGCGATGTGGATCGTGGAAAAGAAGCTGGGTTTAAAAAAAAAAAGAAAAAGAAAACATAACACAGTTCACCCACTCACCTAGCCCAATGAAAAGGACTTCCGTCCATATATCCATCTCGAAGCTACATCCGCCTAAAATATAGCGCTTTCTTTCCAGAGTAAACTCATTGTATTGAAGACACTACCTGAAGTCATGATGCATACGACAAACTGTGACGGTTCCTGTGTGAATATTTTTAGCTGTATTTGTGGTCTCTGTATTTATATTTATGTTTAGCACTGTAATGGTCAAACGGTAAAGTGAATGGCATTCTATAGCAAGTAGGAGAAAAGCAAACCTCGTGTTAAGCTTCCTAGCATCATGTATAAAAAAAAACAAACACAAAAAGTCATGTCCAAAGGACTATGGTTGAGTATTTAATAAAAAACTGGATATTATTTTTAAAAAGGACTGGAATATATATTTTGTTCGTCGTTCCATGGGGGACAATTTCGAGCCGAAATGTTTTGCAAATGGACTCGCCGCGTTCTTTCTTTTCCCTTAAGCGTTCGAATCCCGTTTAATTCCCGCAGCAAGGAAACTGATAGGCGGAAATAATTTATTTCCTATTAAGTAGGCTAAGGATGACTTTAACACCTCTCTCTCTCTCTCTCTCTCTCTCTCTCTCTCTCTCTCCCCTCTTGCATAACCGTAGATATATTCGGGCACAGACGTAGGTAGGCATAAGACACTGGATTCCAGATCGCCAAATTCCTAGGCCCACAATTTCAACTTTTTTTTTTTCCAATAGTGTGTTTTTCAAGGCCGGTATAAGCACAAAAGCACCGATTTCCTTATCACAGAGAAGGGGCAATGAACAAAGGAATCTGGCCACATCCTTTTCTAAATTTATTTCCAGGTTAAGAACAGGTGGGCAGGAATTATTGGAGGTGGTGGTGGGGGGGGGAGTGGGAGCAGAAGAAAAGTTCAGAAAGTGCAATGGACAAGTCTATTATAGGCCATGCAGCCATCGATCTTACTTTGTGGCGGAGGGCTCCAGAGTGGCTTGGGTTTAGGTCAGAGGCATCCTTGTCCCAAATACAAATGTCTGGATGTAAAGTTCTGGCCTCTGGATATCTGGATAGCCTTAACTACACTTTCACGTGTTCTATTCAACCACCAGGTCCCAGTTAAAAGAAAAAAACAGAACTACTCCTGACACCCCACCATTCGTTGATTTCGCCCCCCCCCCCCCGTTTTCTGAACCCAAGGGAGACTGGAGTCATCCCTTTCTCAAAACCATAACAAGAAGCCTCAAAAACTCCCGGAACTGAGATTTGCTCCGTTTTTAAAAGCCAGCCTCGCACATGTTCCTGGGGAGGCAAGGAATAGACTCAACAACATTTCAGAAACCTGAGCCAAAACTTTCCTGGGGTTCTTTACCGATTGCTCCTTAATGCGAACAACAGACAAACAAACCATTAAATAAGCGAACTTATTTAAAGAGTGAAAGATGACCCCAATAAGGACGATAAAAGATTTTTTTTTAAAAAAAAGATAAAATTGGTGCTTCCTCCCCCACCCCCCAAATGAAGAATGGTGGGAAGAACACAGAAACCACTTCAGGAGGAGGGCAAATGTGTTCTTTGTAACTCCACCCCAAACAAACCAAAATAAATTTAAGGCGGCCGACCCGACCCGTCTAGTAAAGGAGAAAGGGCACCCCAACATCTTCCCTGACTATCCAGGAAAAGTGGACTTTATTTTTCTAAGAGAACTCCTCAGAGCCATCCGGGTGAGTTAGCAAGCGTGTCAGTTTTAGTGAGGAGGCAAAGGATGACACACACACAATTCTCACTCGCCAGTTTCCCTGCAAACATAGGAAGAACGGAAAAACAAAGGGAACCCATCCATTCGTTCACCCCAAGCCGGAGGATTTATGGCGAGGCCACGTTTCTTGCCCCCTCAAAGGAAGCTTTTCCGCAGACTCGCACAAAGTCCTCTCCACTCGGAAAGATACTCTGGCTGAAATCATCAGAGGCAGATTCAAAAAAAAAGAGGAGGCGAATTTAGCTCAATAGGTTTACAGTTCCCAGGGCTGTTGTTTTTTGATGCCTGGGCAGAAGAGCAGATTGGTTGGACTTTGGAGAGGCATCGGTGTCCATGAAGCGGTAGCTGGATGCCCGGACCTATATATGTACGATATTTGGGGGAAAATGCATGTAGAAGATGCTGAGGTGTTGTTGTTTTTTTTTGCCTGCCACATGTGTAGGGATTCTTGGATACGCCAAGAATCCTAGAGAACGGGAACCCTGTGCCCTGTGCGCTCAAGTGCCAGGCACAGAGGCAAAGAGTCTGGCAGGAAAGCAACCCCATGCTTCACACCGGGATATTCTGTTCGCGGGCACACACACCCGGGCAACTTAGCCCAGAGAGCCTGGTTGGCACACCCAAGGAAACAGGCTTAGGAATCGAATCGCAAGGTCGTATTTTATGTCAACCCACTCATCAGTCCGAATCAAAGGCAAACTTTCCCCAGGCCTCGCCCGGGTGGAAAACTCGCGCTTGCCTTCGCTCCACCTCGAAGACTTCAGAGGATTTGTGCCTGTTGTTATCACCCTCCAAAAGCCTCGAACGTTCCAACAGGGGTAGAATTCGAATCAGACGCCATACCCCGAACTTAGCACCAGGTGACGCTCTAGACTCATTGTCTCGGTGTTTTGAGTGTGGGGCCTGTTTTTTTTTTTTTTTTTTTCTTCCCAGGGCTTCGTTATGCCAACATATCACATACGTTGCACGGGCTTCCATCAATAACCTCCTGGGGTCATCAAGCCAAATTTATGACTGGCCAACCCTGTCACGTGACTCTCTTTAAACATCCCATATTTGGGCAGCGCACATAGAATAAAGAAAAGAAGAATCCCCACCTATAAATTCTGCACTTTGGAGAACAAAAAACCCTGAACTTCAAAAGGGCCACAAATCAAGTCTAATCAAAGGGGTGTAAGAGAGAGCGCGCGAGAGAGCGAGGGAGAGAGAGAGAGAGAGAGAGAGAGAGAGAGAGAGAGAGAGAGAGAGAGAGAGAG